GAGGAGGAGGAGAGGAGAGGACAAGCAGGAGAAGCAGGAGCAGGAGGGTTGAGGAGGAGGAGGAGGAGGAGGAGGGAAGGAGGAGGAGGAGGAGGAGGACGAGGAGGAGGAGGAGGCGAAGGAGGAGGAGGAGGAGGAGAAGAAGGAGGAGGGAGGAGGAGGGAGGAGGAGGAGGAGGAGGAGGAGGAGGAGGAGGAGGAGGAGGGAGGAGAAGGAGGAGGAGGAGGAGGAGGAAGAGAAGGAAGGAGGGAGGAGGGAGGAGGAAGAGGAGGAGGCAGAGGAGGAAGAGGAGGGCGAGAGGGGGGAGGGGTCGGGGGGGGCAAGAGCACCCTGAGGTTGGAGGCGGAGGAGGCTGTCCTATACGTCTCCCGCGCGCTCCCAGATTCCTGGAGGTCTCCATCGGATTCCAGAGGAGGGGGGTCTCTGGTGAGTTCCGGAGGACGGGACAACGAGAGGGAATAGGGGGAGGAGAGGGCGAACGGAAGTAGGGGGAGAGGGTGGTGGAGTGGGAGGGGAAGTCGGATGACGGAGGGGAACGCTGAAAGCATGATAATGGAGGTTATGGCGAAGACAATTCGGCAACCGTGCCCAAAAGAGAAGCCACAAGGGACCTCACCTAATCTCACCCAGCATCCCAACACATTCGCAACTAGCGCCCAAGAACCAGCATTCAGGACGGTCGCCATCCCATACACAGCCATTGGTAATACCACATCCGCCACCGTGCCAAGAGGCACGAACTGGAGTAACGTTATCCTCGGGTCCCTTCGAATTCTCTGCATTAGACATTTGAATACCCTTTTCAGGGCCCCAAGACGAGGATTCCCAGACATCATGAGCGCTTCATGGCATTTCTTGGCGCTCCCAGGCGCTCGTGGGGCTTGTCGCGTGACTTTATCTGGCGAGCGTGACTGGGAGTCCACAACTCCCACATGCATTAAGACTGCCCCATCGGAACCGCCGTCCAGGGTTTTGAGCGCCCCTTCGGTCGCACTGGAGGCCCCAAACGGGGCCAGCCCGAGAGTCGGAATCATTGAAACAAAGCCTGCAGCTGTTGTAATTTTAGCGTTCTCGCTTTTGAGTCTCGAGAGCGTCCGACATGGCCCAGATGGCCCCGAGAGGGCCCCCGAGAAGGGCCCGGGAGGCCGACGAGAGGCCCCGAGGGGGAAGCTCGAGCTGCCACTCGGAGCCCCCCCAACCCCCGAAGGGGGCCCCCGAGACAGCCAGCAGGCACTCTCAGGAGGCCCAGAGGCACCCTAAATAGAAGCCCCTGGGATGGGCTGGAACCCACTGCTGGGGACAAAAGAGGCCCCCGGGATCAAGGGGCCCCTGGGACAAGAGGCCCCCAAGAAGAAGCCCCTGGGACAAGAGGCCCCGAAGGGAAACTCGAGCTGCCACTCGGAGCCCCCGAGACAGCCAGCAGGCCCTCTCGGGAGATCCAGAGGCCCCCAAGAAGCCCCTGGGATGGACTGGAACCCACCGCATACTGTAGACGATGGATGCCAATGTCGCCAGTTGTGACAAGGTGCGCCAGGCGAACTAAATGCGCCGAGTGCGCCAGATGCGCAAAGCGCGACGAGCGCCGGCGCGCCGCCTGCGTCATCCGCGCCAGGTGCCTTCAGAGCGCGAGGGGCGGCGAGAGAAGGGCAGGTCAAACGCGCCCCGGCGCGGTGAACGCACCAGGCGCACCAGGTGCGCCGGCCCCGCACAGGTGCGCCTGATTCGCCAAGAGCTCGAGTCGCGCGCCAGGTGCGCCTGGGTCGTCTCCGCCCCTGTGCGCGTTGCGGGAAATCACGCCTGCTCACGATTCGCTTAACGGGCGGGAGTGGAGGGGCGGCAAGTTCTGGCGCACACCCTGAGGTTCGTGTGTCATCCGGTGGGCGCCTGCCTCACGTGTACCTTGTATTGCTGCTCGACAGGGGCCGCAGGGGGTGCGCTACTCGAGGCGGTGATGTGGACGAGGGCAAGGGCGAAGGTGGAGTGTGAGCGTCACGGGGAGGGGAAGAGGGGAAGAGCGGCAAGAACAAAAAATGAGGATGAGGGATGTGGGCTAAGAACGGGGAGGGGAAGGGAGGAAGAGAATGCGAGAGAAATACTAAAAGATAGTGCGAATAAGAAAAGAAGAAGAAGAAGAAGAAGAAAAATGATAATAAGAAGAAGAAGAAGAAGAAGAAGGGAGGGATGCATTCTGTGTATCCCACCAGCCCTCTGGGCGGGAGTGCTCTGACGAGCTCGTTCTGCGAACCCCCTGCTTCCCCTTCGGAGAGGGTGTCCGGTGCCCCTCTACCACATACCTCCTCCCCGTGGGTCTGGACGGGGACAGATCAGGAGGGGTTGGAGCATTCAAGATGACCCAAGATGGCTCCAAGATGGCCCCAGAGAGCCCAAGATGGCCAACATGGATCAGTATAGCTTCCACCATGCATCCAAGAGACCCTGAGACCGCTCCCAGGCTGCTCTACGTGCCCTCCGAGCCTCCCACTGAGGCCCCCAAGAGGCTAAACGCCTTCAAAACCCGTGCTGCTCAATGGTGTTTGCCTTCTCGCCGTTTCGCTTCCGATGAGCTCTGAAGCTCCTCAAGACGGCTTCAAGAGGGACCCAAGACGGCCCCAAGAGCGCCCAAGACCGTCCCAAGAAAGCTCCAAGAAGCTCATTTTTGGGCCTCGATCTGGGGGGGGGGGAATGACGCCGCTCAACGTGTTTGATCGGTGTCTTCCACAATGGACCCAAGAGGGCCTCTACAGCCCCCCAAAGGCCCTAAGAGGGCCCCAAGAGAGCCCGAAGAGAATCTCAAAAGAGCAACGACGAAGACCAAGAGGTCTCGAAGACGGCCCCTCGAGGCCTCCCAGACGCTCCCACTGCGAACGATCTTCTAAGGCCTTGGGGGTTACTCGAGTCGTCGTCGTCGTCGTCGTCGTCGTCGTCGTCGTCGTCGTCGTCGTCGTCGTCGTCGCCGTCGCCGTCGCCGTCGCCGTCGCCGTCGCCGTCGCCGTCGCCGTCGCCGTCGCCGTCGCCGTCGCCGTCGCCGTCGCCGTCGCCGTCGCCGTCGTCAGATGAAGTTTCTTCTCTTTCCTCTTCTTCCTCGTCTCCTCGTCTGGACTTCCCTCCTCTGTCCCCCCACGTCCACCTGTGGTCTGCGCTGGCACAGGAACGTGGGGATGTGTGCAGCGTCAAGAGCTGCCGATGCCCATGAGGGCAGGCATAACCCTGTCGACTCAAGTGGGGCCCACGGGCTCCCCCGTCCTTGAAGGTGGTGCTCGTGAATGAAGGAGCCCTGGGGCACACAAATTCGCCAGCCCAACGGGCCAGAGGCGTGCTAAGATCTCCGGTAACTACTTAACAATAGTTCTAGTTCGCGCGCGCCGGGGCGGCCCCTGGGGGGCCCCGGACGAAAAGTACCCCGGCCGATCCCCGGCCGGGTCCCGGGCGATCCCCAGGGGGGAGGCTATTTTTCGCCCCCCCTCACGAGGATCGTGGCCTCCGAGGGGGGGGCTGCAGTCGACCCCCCCCCCCTCCCGCCCCAAGGGCCCCCCAAGAGCCCCCCAAGAGGCCCCAGGGGAGCCCAATACGCCGCCAAGGAGCCCCAAGACGCTCCCGGGAAGCCCCCAAGAAGCCCCCAAGACGGCCCCAAGAGGCCCCAAATAGCGCTCCAGGGCCGGCGGAATGAGCGAAGCAATTAAATAAACAGACACAGATAACAGGATTCCCTATATTTTCCCAAATATGTTCTGGGTTTCTGTCTTCCCCCCCCCACTGCCTATATTCTCCAGTAGTTTTCAGGGGATCGACGATCAATTGTGTCTGTGTGCGTTTTCCCCCTCCTGAAAACCTTATGGCCCAATATACTGTTACAAAGACAGCTCCTGGTACCCGGTGTTGGCGGATGGTATGCGCAATACGCATATACCGTGGCAACAATCTCTATTTGAATCAACGATGCTGCCAGCATTGTCGCCAGGCTGTGTCCTGGAGGTCGGTGCATCGGCGGTTCTGCATGCAGGGCCGCCGGCATTGCCGCCGGGCTGTCCTGGAGCTCAGTACCTCAACCGGGCGTCACCTTAGGAGTGACGGGCTTGTTTGTGACGTAAGCCCCAGGACAGCACGACCCCATCCCAAGGACCCGTTGTTCGACCCGAGCCAGTCTTGACGGCCCCAGAGCAAGTGCAGGGAACCAGGCACAGATTTAGAACAGTCCTCCGCTTGTCATGTTCCATCTGTCGAGGGTAGGAGTGATCTTACCAACAACACACGACGCCAAACAGCTGTTCCACACGCTCATTGGAGCCATCGCCGGAGGAGGGCGCGAGCTCCTCGCTGGGACGCGAGGCGCCCACGCTCGCTCCGACAGCGAAGCTTGCCAGCGGTCGCGGACCAGCTGCTGGAAGTAATGAGGAGAGCACTTGCCGTGTTGGAGAGGAGGGGTTGGGAGAATGAAGGGCATGAGCAATAGCATTAGGTCGGGGGTGTCCCCCATACAGGCGGATTTTGGACGACAAATGCAGCATGCTCAAAACATACGCCAAAAGTGCCAAAAATAATCAGAAATCGCCCCCTGACTACATTTTGACTATTTTTGAATACTCCTCCTGTAAAGGGACATGCCCGACTTGACAACAGCATCTGGATGCAATCAACGATACCTTCGGCCGCCTACGGGTAATGATATCCTCACTTCTCCCAGCCCCACCCCCCCAACCCGTGAACTGTCCTCTTGGGAAGGCTTCACCGTCACCATCGAGGCTAACACGGGCATCAGCAGGCAACGAGATCGAGCAGCTGCTGCCAGCACCAGGGGCCCGAAGCCGGCCTCCAGAGAAGCCCAACAACGGCGACAACGACTCCGCCGCGGACACTCCCGTGCCGCCAGGCTCCGAGGCCTCCGGAGGCCCCCAGAGGCCCCCGGAGGCCCCCGTGTGATGCCCACGGGCCTCGTGGAGGCCACGGATGGGGCCCAGGAAGGCCCCGAGGGGCCCGCAGAGGGCCTCGTGGAGGCCACAAGAGTAAATAATAATAAAAAAAAAAAAACAAAAAAAAAAAACCTCTCGGCGCTCGACCCTCGACGCTCCATCCTCGGCCCCGGATCCTCGACCCCCGATCCCAGATCAGAGGCGAGGGAGGCGGTCCTCGATCAGGGGCGCCGACGGGGTCGGCCTGGGCGGCACCTGGCCCCAGCACTGGGCTTGCTCCCGCAGCGCGGCGTTGTTGTCCTCGGGACATCATCGCGTGGCCACCCTGCCAGGAAGCTGGAAACGCACCCGGCTGGGTTCACGCGGAGGCCCAGCGCTGGACATGGCAGAACAAGAGACGGCATCAGCAGGCACTCTCGATGGTTCCTGGCGGCGCCTCTGGCGCCACCCCTGGCGCGCCTCCGCGCGTCAGGGAAGGGACGCGGAGGAAGGGGTCCGGCACCGACCCAAGAACTCCGCACGGGCCGCTGAAAGTTCGTGCTTATGCCACTGCTGGTCTTCGACATGTGGAGGCGAGGCGCCGGGTACGCGTGTGGCGGGCCAGCGCGGCACGCCTGGGCATGACTACGAGAACCGAGCGCCAGGAAGCCGTGCGGCCACGTGTGTATCCAGCGCTCGCCCTGGCTGGCTGCGTCGCGCGTGCCCAGCTTCCTGGTGTGGGCCAGGGGGGCTCAGCAACACCAGCGCAGCCCAGACCCCGAGGCGGCGCGGGAACAGCCCCGAGCACCGCGGGCGGCTGCTCCTTACAGCCTCGACGCCAGAAATGCCGCTCAGCGGGCCGTGGGGCCGATCAAAGAGGCCCCCGGCGAGTGGCCGGCTCTGGGACGCAGAGAGACATACCAGAGAGACATACCAGTACATGTGTCCTCCTCGGTGGCGTGCGTCCGACCCGAACGTATAGTACAAAAGCGTTGTGGTAGATCGTTTCCCGAGCGGCATGGCCAGAGAACGCCCGCCACGGGGCTCATGCTGCAAGAGTTCTCGGCGCGCGCGCGCCGCCCCTGGGGGGAGCGAATCACATAGCATTAGTATGTCGGTGCGACGCCGAGGCTCTCTGGGGGTCGGGTCGACAGCTCATAGGGCCAGCCCCCCCGACGGGCGCTCAACCCTGAGCGCCTGGGCCGACGCCGCCGCTGCGTCGAGGCGGCGCGAACCTGCTGCAGGGCGGCCAGATGGTCATCTTAGGAGGCAACTCCTGGGAGGTCTTCGCAACAACAAGCGGTAAAGGGCTCCTACGCCCGATTACGGGGCCATTGAGCCGAATCAGGCTGGACGAAGCCGAGATCAGACCAGACTGAGCCGGAAACAAGCCAGATTAGGCGGGATTGACCTGGGCTGTGCCGGATGAGGCCGGAGATCGCCGACGACGGGCATGCCAGCGCTGATGCTGAGTCGAACCTCCCAGAAGTTGAAAACCAAGGGCCATGGTCCTCAAAGAGGCTGAACGTCTGGCTCAGGCACTCCTCCGGTACTGGCGCCGGCCTCTCCATCGGGGCTGGTCGCCCGAAGGGGGGGGGGCTCGCTCCTCCTCCTCCTCCTCCTCCTCCTCCTCCTCCTCCTCCTCCTCCTGTTCCGTCTTTCGCGGCGGTGCCCCCTGCAGGTCCACGGACCCTCGTGGGCTCCCCACAAGACGAGGGAGGCAACACTCAGTCATGCTTCTGGGGGGGGACGGCCACCCCTGGTCTGCTGGTGACCCAGCACACTCGCCACTCCTGAAGGTGGGCGAGTGCGTGGGTCGAGGATGCTGCATTTGGTCGGCGAGTCTAGCCCGGAGATGCGCCGCATGCGACGAAACTTCTGTAACTCTTCCCAATCCTGTCTGCCCACGCCGTCAGGGCGCTCGTCAGGGGTTGCTGGCGATGGGTGCGGGCATGACAAAAGACGTGTAACACACAGGTTGATACGCACACACACACACACACACCGGTCAGCCTTGTCTTGGACCTGATTCAAATATCTGGCCCCAACCTTTCCTGCCGCTGCCTCCAAGGAGAGGCAGGCGCCTGATCCGGTCTGCATGTGGCCACAGAGCCTCATGGTCCACAAGGAGCCCGCACAAGGGGATAAGGAACCACCTGGGGCGGCGTGGCTCAGAGGTGGCGGGACCCAGGGGGCCGACATACTCACTGCGGACGTGGACACCAACGCTCGTGGCGGGCCGCCCAGAAAGAAGGGACATCTCTCGGAGGCAAACCCCAGGTATCGGGGCCTTTCCTAGGCACCCCACACGCTGCATCTCATAGATTGCGCCACTCGAGTTGCAACACATCAGTGCACCCCTAGGGTGATTGTATCCAAGAAGCTGCACGCAACACGCTGCGCCCAAAAGAGATCCAAACAAATGCACCCCCTACGCATCCAGCTGCACACCGCACCTCAACCTGCATGGCATGAGTCTCTTCCCAAAGCTTGCGCAACGAACCCAGACATTTGGCTTCAACACGGGATCCCTGGGGTCGTCTCGACCCCCTCCCTGGGGCAGAGAGCTGCCAAAAACTCTCGCCGTGATATCTGGTGTAAGACACGAGCATCTCAGGGTCATTGCGTTTCACCGTCCCGGGCCCACGCGCTGGCATTTGTTCTCTCTCTCTCTCTCTCTCTGGCTCTCTCTCTCTCTCTCTCTCTCGCTCTTCTTCCCGATCGACCGCCGCCCGCGGCCTCGGCGGCCGCGCCCGAGCGAGACCCCCGCCCGTGCCGAACTGGGGCATCACGCCCTCCGCGAAGGACGGGAGGCTGAGGAAGGGCCGCTCCAGCGGGTCCACGCTCGCGTCCACCGGCCGCCGCCGGGGCGCCCGCGGGAGCCAGGGCTCGTACTGCGGCACGAGGTCGGCCGTCAGCGGGAACGCGAGGATCTCCGCCTCCGGGGCGCTGGGGCTCGTGGCCGGCCTCGACGGGCCGCGGGGGGGGGGAGGGGGGGCGACCGACCCGCTGACTGTCTGATTCTACGAAGGTGGGTTTTGGGTTTGCCTCGCGAGTGGCACGATGTGATTCATCAGCATATTCATGCTACTTGCCTTCAGCAGTTCACTCATCATTGAAATTATCATGACTTGATTAGACATGACACTCCCAGTTCTTCTACAATCCTTACCTCTCTGTATGCAACCTCATCGCATTCCGGTTGTTTTTGAACTTACAACTGGCTGTATCTGTACCGTTTCGTTCGTAAACGTGTAATGGCCCCCGTGACGGCATTACTCATGGTTCCCTCTCAGTGGCGGCCTTACAATACGAACACATTTAAGGCAGCCTCACAACAATAACTTCTGTTGCGCAGATCCCCCCACTTGAAGTCTTTGTGTGGCAGACTTCACACATGGGATTTTTTTGTGGCGACCGTGCAACAAGATGTCAAGTGTGGGGGATCTGCCGTGGCCTCCGCAAAATCGTTTAGTAGCCATCTGTAAAAAAAGAATGTCTTCAGTGGTGGTCGAACAGAACGATTTCAAACGCCGGGGATGTGCAACGGCGGCGCCGTGTGCCCCAGAAAGCTAAAGAGGAACACCGTGGAAAAACAAGAAACGCTATAGACAAAACGACAATCATGTACTTTCACATGGGACATGGGGACGAGCTCAGACGACCTGTGGCTTTCATTATGTCTATGGCGCTAATCCCCACAATTGGAACCCTTTTTGTAGCAACCCTTACATACGATTCCTTCTGTGGTGATCCCACATAAAGATTTGAATTGTGATACCTTTGCAGCAATCGCCACAAATGATTAAACCCGCTCACCGCAGCCTTTGCACAAGGATTCGTTGTTGCAATATTACAGCACGTATTTTCACGGAGGGGTATCTGCAGTGGTCTCCAGCATGCTGTCGCAACTTGCACACACGGATCACCTGTAGCGGTAGTGCAGCATCAATATCTGAAGACAAGCTGCTACGAACAAATCTCCAGCGTGGAAGCAACTGCAGACCTCCGCAATTAAATCCGTCTTGTAAGATCGTCACTCGAGGAATCCGTGTGTAAAGGCAAGGCTGCTACAAAAGGATCTCAATCGTGGCGGCCACTGCAGGTGCCCCACTGGGAAGTCCTCTTGGGCGGCCGCCAAAGAGGAATCCTCGCAGAAGGGCTGTTGCAGCAAAAAGAAAAGGAAACAGGCGAAATAAACAAAACAACGAGAGTCGCATGTTGTATTAGCCTTTTTTCCTCCAGAGCTTCTCATGTGAAGAACAGAATGTTTCTCGTGTGGTGTGCTTTCTGTGTGCCTCGTAAGCTTCCGCGGCGCCACGGAGATCGCAGTGGCGGCTGCACGGGGCCGCGGGAAGTATGCAGGAGAGCAAGGAAAACATACATGTGACATGAAAACTGGGAGCACCTGTGAGTGTCGCAATTCGTATTGGCTGCGGGTCCCCACGCTACTCCAAAATGCGTAATGCAAGGGAGGGGGTCGCAACCCTCCCAGAAGGGCTATGTTACCCTCCCTCCCCCCACAAGCCATGAAAGGGCGGCCGTTTGCCCAGATCCCAGTGGAACCCTCCAAGACAGTTCAAACCAGACCCCCTTCCCAATTCAGGCCGCCCTCCATTTCTTGTGGATTGCTGCAGTCATGTCCGTGCGTAAGTAAGATCGCCACCACCAGAATCCTTGTTGTCAGGGCTGCTACAGACCGATGCCATGTAATATGGCCACTGCAGATGCCCCACATTTACAATCCTTTTGGACGATCGCCGCGACAAGAACGGCGACTTCAACTGTGGGGAACACGCCCCATCAACATAGCCATTCGCAATGTGTCCGAATTGCTTGCTATTTCTCCCTGGGAGCGCATAAGCGGTTTCTTGATGTTCGTGCCTTCGTGCTTTCTTGGAGATCGCAGTGGCGGATCCGTGGGGCCGCGGAACCTTACCAGAAAAAGAAGAGAAGCAATAATCATAGATAACAGTTGTTCGCAAATGGGAAATAGGCAAACGACTAGGACAACCTGTGACCGTCGTTCTTCTTATGTTGCCGCAGATCCCCACGGTTTAAACCCTTGTGTCAGATCGCCGCAAGAGAAGTCATGATGCAAAGGATGCTACAAGATGATTTCAAGTGTGGCGGCCACTGCAACTGCCACACACTTGAGGCTCTGTTGAAAGGTCACCAGAAACTGAATCCTCTTGTGAAGGGCAATTACGCAAAGATTTCATGTGTGGGGATCTGCACCCCAAAAAAGAGTGCGAGTCACAGGGTGCCCTAGCTTTTCCCAAGATTTGCTTGCGTAGACAAAAGATGCTGCTTGTTGTTCATGCGCTTCCTTACACTCAAAGTCAGCGCGCACATTGAATACGCCTTGATCTCATATGTGGTGGTTTACACATTGCATGTGAGTTGCATGTGATGTTAATTGTGGAGGATATGAGTGTCGGCGCTGTGTAAGTCTTGCATATGAAAGGACGTTGCCCATCTGCACATACAGGAATCAGCGCGTACATCACCTCAGCTTTGAAGAACACGATGCGGACATGTACCAACGAACTGCACCTGCAGGTTAACAACATGGTACATAATAATAACACGGCGACGCACCTCGCCGAGAGAGCCGCTCGTCGTGAGCGGCGCTCTCTGACGCTGGGGGCTGCGTCTCCTGGGGCCTCCTGTGATGGGCCTGTTTTCCACCACTACCACCACCACCATGAGTAGGAGGGGGGGAAGGAGGAGGGGGACGAGGAGGAGGAGGAGGAGGAGGAGGAGGACGAGGACCCTCTCCCCCTCCAACTTACGGTGGTGGTGGAAAACAGGCCCATCATCCTGGGGCCTCCTCCTGGGGCCTCCCAGGGCCTCCTCCCGACTTTGAACCCTCCCTGGGGCCTCCCTAGGCCCGCCGGGGGGCCCCTCGCCTGGGGCCCCCTCTCGCGACCTCGCCGCCCCGCGGGCTCCCCCCGCCCGCCGGAGAGCACGCGCGCGCTCGGGCGCAGAGCACGCGCCAGGGCAGGCCGACCGCCCCCCCCCCCGCGCGGGGAGGCGAGGCCCGAGAGCGCAGGCCGACGGTGCACCGGGAAGGGCGGCAAGCCACACGGACGTGGTGTCCTGCCGCCGAGAAAGAGGCACCTGCTCGAAACAGGCGCCAAAAAACAGCCAAGATCCACTCCAGGCAGGTGGGGGAAGGGGGAGGGGGGGGGCCCGCGCCGATCGGCATGACAACGAAGAAAAAACGAGCACTTGGCCGAGATCCTGACGATTGAATTGTTTCGAGCCAAGCGTTTTCACTCCACGTCGGGCCCTGGGACCCTCACAGATCGATGCAGCCCGAGAAATGACACAGGAAGATTGGGTATGGGAGTCCGATCGTGGGTGGGGGTCCGTCCTGGGAGAGATGGTGTCAGCGGAGCGTAAGAATATGTTCACGATGAGCACGGTCTGACTGAACCCCCGTCGATCGAGTCTTGCCAGTCAGCAGTCCAAGTTTTGTGAACGACGTAACTTTAGCATTCGCGTCTTCTGTGAGCATGCGCGATTGCTTGCGGACGTAGCAAGTGCTGCGCTCAACCGGAAGGCCACAGCCTCAGAGACTGCGGCTGGGCTCGAACCAGATTTGCACAGTAACCCATGGCTTGCGAAGGTCATTGTTTGTGATGTTTCATTTTTTTGCAACGTCGGATCTCAGGGTTGGAGAGAACGATCACTAACGATCATTAGGTCGGGCATGTCCTCCTACAAAAGAATCTTGTGAGAAATGTCAGAAATACTCGAAACATCCTCAAACATATTCAAACATACTCCAAGTAAGTAAACGGCCCCGGACTATGTTTTGCTATTTTTGAATGTTCCTCCTGTAGAGGCACAGGCCTGACTTAAGACGATCAAAGCATCGCAGTGGCGATGCCGACGACGCCCACGAGCAGGCCCAGATCCCCATGTAATTATGTGACCCCAGGGCGCTGCTGCGTGACGGGCGCCGCGGGGCACTGCATCCCCCTCGTCCTGCAATTGCGCGGCTGGGAGCTGGCGCACATCCCCCCGTCGCCCTATCAGAAGAAGGAAATGATTCATAAACATCATCAATTGTTGGCGCTCCGCGCGGATTTCGTGGATCTGGCGCTCTGCGCGGATTTCTCGCCCCTGGCGCGCGGAGCGCGCCAGGGGCGCCCAGCGCGGACCCAAGAAACTCGCGCGTAGCGCCCAAAGTTTTGTTTACGCCGCTTTTCTCCTTCGACCACCGCCCCCTGGCCCCAGACTAGACAAGCGCATTCCACGACTCGCAAAGTGACTACTCGCAAATGGCCTGGATCCGCCGCGGGGGGTTTACGATACATTACATCGAGGCACACACATGTGTTTGTCGGACGTTGGCGACTAGACACTTTCCGAGTAGTGGAACGCGCTCGGTGACAGACGCACCCTTGCAGCTGCCGTCACGTCTGCCCGACCCTGCTGCTCCCGGTCGGCCGGGCCTCGGCGGTCCCTCCGCGCCGAGGCGGCCCGCAGAGGCGTCCGCCGCGCGCGCCGCCTCGCGGGCGGCCCTGCCGGAGCTGCCCCGGAGCAGGTCGGCGTCCAGCAGCGGCCTGTAGCGCAGCACCTCCGAGGCACCCCGCGGCCTCCACCTTCGGCGCCTCCCGCGCGGGAGGTTTGGCGCGGCAACGGCCGCCGCCAGGGCCCTGCCGCGCAGGAGGTTCGGAAGGTGGAGGCGAGGGGTCACAGGCCGCGCTCTGGCACTGAAGTTGGCCGTGCTCATCCTGACCCTCAGACTGGCACCCATGCTCTCCCGACCAGTCGTGCACCAGATCGCAGGGTCTGGGAAGGGCCCGGGCAGGATCGAGTTGCATTGGCAATGTCCAGGCCTCCAGCTGGCTCTGGCCGAGAGGCTCCACGTGAGGAAGTGGTGGCCTCCTCGCTGGTTCTGGCATGACGTCCATCAGGCCCGTCTCCCTCGACGCGCACCAGCGCCCGAGCTTCTCAAGTCGCAAGTGCACGTTGACCTCCTGGCGCTCCGTGAGCGAGAAGATCCCAGCGAGCACATCCCTGTCCTTCTCCTCCTCGTGGTGGAAGACCAGACCCACGTCGTTTCCGCAGCTTTGCCTGCTGTTGTGCTCGGCGATGAAAGGCTTGACGAGGCTCACGTACGCGCGGTCCTGCACCCACCGCAGCCAGGTAGCCGCCACGTTCCCCTGCTCGAAGTCCACGGGCTCGCGACGAAAGCTGGAGCCGGCGCTGCCGCTGTGCAAGTAGCCCAGCCGTTGAAGCTCGGCGGGCGGCGGCAGGTCGTCATCAGAGGCCGCGCCGCTCGATGTCTCCTCGGAGGCGGCCTGCTGCGCGCCGTGCAGCCTGCTATGCAGGCACAGGAAGCAGAACTTGGCGTGCTTGGGGTTCGAGTGGAAGTGCGGCGCCCACTTGACGGGCCCTCTCGCCGTGGCGGCGTTGGGATCTGACTGCTGCAGCTGGGGGCGAACCTGTGCGACACCGCGCTGGAAGCGCGCCAGCGCGGACTCCCCGTCGCTGCTGTGCAGCGGCGGCGGGTAGGCACCCGTGCCTCCGCCGCCGGCTCCTGGGCTTGAAAGGCCTGAGGGGCAGCACGGGGGCACCTCCTCCTCCTCCTCCCCCTCCTCCTCCTCCTCCTCCTCCTCCTCCTCCTCCTCTTTCTCCATTCCTTTTCCTTATAGATAACTCTTCCCTGTCGCACCCCGAGGCCGGTCGAAAGGGCGGGCCGGGCGTAACAGCTTCACAGATGGAGGGCGCGTCGTTTCCAAAATATGGCTCTCGCCTTAGCTCCGCGCACATTCGTGCTAAAACATTGCAAGGAGTCGCACGGGTTGAGGGCTGCTTGGTTTTCAGAATGTGGCTCTCGCCTCAGCGCCGCACACATTCGTTGTAGAGTATTGCATGATTCTAACGGGTTGAGGGCAGGTCGTTTTCAAAATGCGGTTCTCGCCTTAGCGCCGCGCGCATTTGTTCTCAAAAAAATGCAGGAGCTTCACGGATTGAGGGCAGGTCTGTTTCAAAATGCGGCTCTCGCCTTATCGCCGCGCACATTCGTTCTAAACATTTGCATTTGCAAGAGCTTCACGGGTTGAGGGCGGCCCGTTTTCAGAGTGTAGATGTTACGCTGATTCGCGGTGCTGAACTCCCAGGAAGGGCGTTCTGACGTGATTCAGAATCGCCAAGACGCAATTGTCAGGTTCACTCGTGGCGTTGACGCCCGAATAAATATAATTTAACGCAGTTCAAAATGTTCATACGGTTTCCCCAACTGGGCAATTCCCTGTGGAAATGAACCCTAGTAGAGGCCTACAAAGAGGAAGCTTGGAGGGAGGAAGCATTCCAACATCGTTGATGAGTCTTGGGCTTGCACTGGTCCTTCCCCTCCTCCTTTTCTTCCTCCTCCTCCTCCTTTTCCTCCTCCTCCTCCTCCTCCTCCTCCCACAATCACCATCCTCCATGTCCTCCTGCTCTTCTTCAACCTCCCTTCACGGAGGGGAGAGGCGCAGCCTCCGATTCGAGGGTCGGGGAGAAGCCGCTTGCGGTCCGTGAGAAGCTTGATCGGGGCGCCGCTGGGGCCCTGATAGGGGCTCTGCTTGCAAGCCGCTGGGGCCTTCCCGGGACATGCTGAAGCCTTCGGGCCTGCCCTGGAGCTGCTTGGAGCATACGTGGACATGCTGATTGGGCCTGGCCTTCGATGAGAACTTTTTCCCAACTATCCTGTGGCGCCCGCGTCCTCCTTCCTTCGTTCCTTCTCCTCCCGTTGCCTCCCCTCCTCTTCCCTCCCTGCGTTTCACCCACTAGGGAGCTCCACCGAAGGCGCCACTGGCAGGGCTCGCATGGCGGCCTCGGGCCATTTCACACCCCCAACGAGGATCGTAGCCCGATAGGAGCTCCACCGAAGGCGCCAGTGGCAAGGTTCGCATGGCGGCCTCGGGCTATTTCGGCACACCCCTCACGAGGATCGTGGCCACATGGGGACTTTTATTGAAGGCCCCAGTGGAATGGCTCGCATGACGGCCTCGGGCCACCTCGGCAGACCCCTCACGAGGATCGTGGCCTCATAGGAGCTCCACTGAAGGCGCCAGTGGCAGGGTTCGCATGGCGGCCTCGGGCCATTTCGGCACACCCATCACGAGGATCGTGGCCCCATAGTAGCTCCACCGAAGGCCCCAATGGCAGGTTTCGCATGGCGGCCTCGGGCCATGTCGGCACACCCCTCACGAAGGTTTTGGGCTCCATCAAAACCTCCACCGAAGGCGCCGGTAGCAGGGTTCGCATGGCGGCCCCGGGCCATTTCGGCACCCCCCTCACGAGGATCGTGGCACCATGGGAGCTCCACCGAAGGCGCCAGTGGCAGGGTTCGCATGGCGGCCTCGGGCCATTTCGGCACACCCCATCACGAGGATCGTGGCCCCATAGGTAGCTCCACCGAAGGCGCCAATGGCAGGTTTCGCACGGCGGCCTCGGGCCATGTCGGCACACCCCCAACGAGGATCGTAGCTCCATAGGGAGCTCCACCGAAAGCGCCAGTGGCAGCGTTCGCATGGCGGCCTCTCCTCGCGAGGATCGTGGCCCCATCAAGACCTCCACCGAAGGCGCCAGTGGCAGGGTTCGCGTGGCGGCCTCGGGCCATTTCGGCACACCACTCACGAGGATCGTGGCCCCATAGTAGCTCCACCGAAGGCCCCAGTGGCAGGGTTCGCACGACGGCCTCGGGCCATGTCGGCACACCCCTCACGAGGATCGCGGCTCCATAAGGAGCTCCACCGAAGGCCCCAGTGGCAAGGTTCGCGTGGCGGCCTCGGGCCATTTCGACACACCCCTCACGAGGATCGTGGCCCCCAGGAGCTCCACCGAAGGCTCCATCCAGTGGCAGGGTTCACATGGCGGCCTCGGGCCATTCCGGCACACCCGTCACGAGGATCGTGGCCCCGTAAGAGCGCCACCGAAGGCGCCAATGGCAGGGTTCGCATGGCGGCCTCGGGCCATTTCGGCACACCCATCACGAGGATCGTGGCCCCATAGTAGCTCCACCGAAGGCCCCAATGGCAGGTTTCGCATGGCGGCCTCGGGCCATGTCGGCACACCCCTCAACAGGATCGTGGCCCCGTAAGGAGCTCCACCGAAGGCCCCAGTGGCAGGGTCCGCATGGCGGCCTCGGGCCATTTCGGCACGCCCATCACGAGGATTGTGGCCCCATAGGGAGCTCCACCGAAGGCGCCAGTTGCAGTCTCCCCTATGGCTCTCAGAGCCTTTCCTGCTGCTGCTCTTCGGTCAGGGGGGCGCCGTCCTCGTCGTCGTCGGCGCCCGCGAAGACAGCCACGAGCGTGTCCTTGAGCATGTTTGCTCTGGCGGGAAGCCGTGGCCACAGAGGGAGGGCGGGCGAAGATGGTATTCACAGTTGCGGTATTCACAACAGCGTATGGTTGGGTCCTTCGCCAGGCTACTTTTTTGGGGGAGAGATCCGCTCTCCGCCCCGATCGAGGTCCCGCTCGAGAGCCAGTTGACACCTCCACCACTTCTTCTCCGTCCCACCTCCCCTTCCCCTCCCTTTCCCCCTCCTGCATGCACCTCCTCCCCTCCCCCTCCCCCATCCCCCTCCCCCCATCCTCCTCCTCCTCCTCCTCCTCCTCCTCCTCCTCCCTCCTCCTCCTCCTCCTCCTCCTCCCTTCCTCCCTCCTCCTCCTCGTCCTCGCCCCTCCTCCTCCTCCTCCTCCTCCTCCTCCTCCTCCTCCTCCTCCTCCTCCTCCTCCTCCTCCTCCTCCTCCTCCTCCTCCTCCTCCTCCTCCTCCTCCTCCTCCTCCTCCTCCTCCTCCTCCTCCTTGGCCACTTTCAGGAGCTACAGTCGGACTTGATTGGAGAGGACACGCGAGAGGACGCCAGACCCTTCCGAGGGCCACAGCGCCATCAGAATGCAAAAGGGCATAGGGCCCTTGATCTGGCAGGGTCGGACCTACTGACTGATCCAGGCCGGCAATGCCTGGAAGCCTCCGAGGCCCAGATGGGAGCCGATGGAGCGACAAAGCGAAAATCTAAAGCCTCGCAGCTCATCGGGACACTGGGCTGGTCTCGCGGCTCCGCCCGTCGGGGGCAGTGGGGACACGCCCAGGCGGGGCGCATCGCCGAGTTAGACCTGGAACTCCTCGTCGTCCTCGCTCTCCCACCTCCTCCCTTGACGTCCTCTGCTCCGCCTCCTCCGCCGATGAAGCGAATAAGCCGATGACGTCTCTTGCCAGTCAGTGCGTTTCACCAAAAGTGGCGCGTCGGGAGTCTCCCTGGGAGGCCGCGGTGCCACCTCGGAGCAATGTCGGCGGTTTCCTGGGGCCTCTGGAAGCCACCCTGAGATCCGACGTCCTGAAAAAATCGCCACCGTAAAACAACAAGACTGGAGCCCCGGACCCCATCTCTCTGCTGAATGTTCCCAGCCGGATCGATCCGTGAGGGTCCCTGGGCTCGAATCAAGGCAAAGTCGCCCGTACCCACCGGTCGGAAGAAGTAGGTAGATACATGAAGTCGGAAGGCGTTGAAAGTAGATTGGGCTCCGCCCGCCCCCTAAGGAGGACGGAAAAGGTGAAGCCATTCGATCATTGAAGTAGGACGGCGCTTGAAGCAGACTGAAATCTGGGAGTCCAGAAATACGTAGCACCCCGCAATTGCGGATAAGAGTGAGGGGGCGGGCGCGGGCGACGCGGGCGTCGAGCCAGCGGACCTCGTGGTCCCCACCTTCCCTGTCGATGGCGCCCTCCTCCTCCTCCTCCTCCTCCTCCTCCTTCTCCTCCTGCTCCTCCTCCTCCTCCTCCTCCTCCTCCTCCTCCTCCTCCTCCTCGTCCTCATCGTCGTCGTCGTCGTCGTCGTCGTCGTCGTCGTCGTCGTCGTCGTCGTCGTCGTCGTCGTCGTCGTCGTCGTCCGCCTCCTCCTCCTCCTCCTCCTCCACCTCCTCCTCCTCCTCCTCCTCCTCCTCCTAACCCACTCGAGCAAGCCCGCCGCAGGCGCCGATTTGCGTGCTCTGGCAAGTTCAGCGCGGGGGGAATCGCTGGTGGGCCACCGGGAGCAAATGCAAAAACAGCCCGCCGCAGGCGCCGAATTGTTGGCTTGTTCAATGAACGTAGTTTGGGTCGCGGGTGGGTCACGGGCTCTCCACCTCCACCTGGAAGAAATTCAAAAACAGACCGCCGCAGGCGTCGAAAATTTTGATTTGTACACTGAACGCGGTTTGGGTCGCAGGTTCTCCACCTGGAAGGAATGCAAAAGAAACCCGCCGCAGGCGCCGAATTGTTGGCTTGTTCAGTGAACGTAGTTTGAGTCGCGGGTGGGTCGCGGGCTCTCCACCTCCACCTGGAAGAAATTCAAAAGCAGACCGCCGCAGGCGCCAAAATTTTGATTTGTATACTGAACGCGGTTTGGGTCGCGGCTGGGTCGCAGGTTCTCGACCTGGAATGAATGCAAAAGAAGCCCGCCGCAGGGCGCCCGGATCCTGACGGCCCCGCCTCTACCCTCCAGCTGCCCCTCCCGGCTCACGCCGGGCCCGAGACAGGCCCGAGCGACGGCGACGACGTCTGCGATGTGGACGGCGACCAACCCTGAGATGCTGGCGACTCCATTTTTCCGAGCTGGGCACTTTCTCGCTCGCTTTCGGGCCCCGGGGCCCTCGCAGGTCGGTCCGGCTCGAAAAGTGGCGCAGGGAGATGGGGTCCGGGGGTCTGGTCGCGAATTTTTGCGATGTGGCATTTTTTTGCAACGTCGGACCCCAGGGAAGTGCGACGGCGACGGCCAGAGGCGGCGGCCACGGCGACGAGAGCGCCGAGCTGCCCTCTGATAGGGATCTCCCGAGCACGAGCCCTGGCGACGGGCGGAGTCCGCAAGCCCCGACAACCTGCTGTTCTAACCCCAGACATGACCGCGTCGTATAAAAAATCCGGACGAGAGGTTTTTGGCCAATTTCGGCACGGGAGGCCCTCGCCGAGCCTCGGGACCGTCAAAAAGTCGACTCAGGATGAAAAACAAGCCCCGGGGAAAGGGTCTGGACTTCCGGGGGCGCCGTCCTGAAAAAATCAGGACGTCGCATGTCTGGGACCATGCGTTTTCTCCCCCATCTCTGCCTAATTCAAGCTTCGCGCGGCCCACTTAACTTCGACCGGAAGAGGTGCGCTCTCGACTGGCGGATCAAAAAATGTCTGGGACCACGCCTGGGCCCTGGACCTCTCGGGGCCCCATGGGGGACGGGTCTTCCCTCTGCCGGGCTCTCTCCCTGCTGCTGCCGGAGCCCAGAGAGCGGCCTCCCCGGGCCGACGGCTGCTATTGAAGCCTCCGCCCCCGACCTCTGAGCGACGAGCGGAGACGGGTCTTGCGCGAGATGGCGCAGCGACCTTACGCGGCGGCTCTCGCGGGCCGCCCGCGCGGCACGCCACACTTGCAACGAGGGCGCTCGTGCGCGCGACCTCGCGCGGGCGGCTTACGCGCCCACGCCGGTGCAGACGACCCCGTTTTCTGGCGCTGCTCCTCTGGCGCTCCGACCTGCTTGGCGCGTGACCCCCACAGGACCTCTGGAGCCCCTCCTCCTCCCCTTCCCCACGGGGCCGGTCCTCACCCCGAGCTGCTTCTAGCGGCCCCGATGCCGAAAGCCCGCCTCCAGAGGACAGGGATCGACAAGCGCCAGCCACCTCAAGGCGCCGGGTGCCTGGGGGCCTCCCCTGCAGCGTCCGCATCAACGGGGCGCGCCGCCCCGCCGATGCATCGCCCAAGGCATCGGCGACGCCGACAATGCGCCGGCGACTTCGACGTGGGCAGAAATCGGGCTCCACGTCGAGCCGCATCGCCGATGCACCGTAGATGCGGCTCGAGCCTCAGGCCTCACCTTCTCGGGCCCCCTGTGGGAGGCCCGGAGATGTCTGGGGCCTTTCGCTGCTCGGGGCGTGGGAGGTCTGGGAAGACGACGACGCGGCCGCCCGACCGACCCTTCCGAGTGTGCCTTCCCGCGATGCTGCAACTTTCCCGCCATGATTTATCTCAGGGGACGGAACCACGGCGTAGACAGAAACTGTTGGAGCTCCGCGCGGGCTTCTTGGATCTGCGCTCTGGCGGCGCCTCCAGCGCCGCTGCCTGGTGCGCTCCGCGCGCCGGGGAGGGGGGCGTTCAGCGCCGATCCAAGGAATCCGCGCGGAGCTCCAAAAGTTCATGTCTACGCTGTTTGTTGTTCTTCGACAGACCTCACGGGACGGCTGCGACGGCGCTTTCGTCTGGGCTGCCCTGTGGCAAGACGAAGCCAGGACGAGGATAACATCGGGTGAACACAGGTCGAGCATCCCTGAGCTCCGGCGGCTCTGGAGGATGCATCGGGCGGCGCGGCCCTCGCAGAGCGTTCCGGAAAGCTCTGAGAGCGCTCCCGACCGCTCTGTCTCCTCCTCCTCCTCCTCCTCCTCCTCCTCCTCCTCCTCCTCCTCGTCCTCCTCCTCCTCCTCCTCCTCGTCCTCCTCCTCGTCGTCCTGGCCCCGTCTGAGGCGGGGCCCCTGCCTGGGCCGGCGCCCTTCGGGGACGCCCAGGCCCGCAGCGCCGGCAGCGGCGGTGGGCCCGCCCTGCCGTCGTCGGGAGGCAGCTCAGCAAGGCTGGCGCCTGAGGGGCCATCTCTGCCATGCGCTCGCGCTTGCCTCACATCCCGAGTCGGGTTCTCGTTTTCTCTCTGGGCGTGGGGCAGTACTTCTCCGCCTCCCCCTCTCCTCGTCTCCCTTCGCACAATCACCCCACCGCTCACACGCCATCATCATCGTCATAACAGCACCAGTATCCTCATCATCACTCGCAACATTAGCCTCACTCGCTCAATCCCTTACAGCATCATCAACATCATCAGCAGCATCACCAGCAGCAGTTTCAGCATCATCACCAGCATCACCATCATCACCATCATCAACATCAGTATCAGCATCCTGATCATCATCATCAGCATCATCAGCATCATCATCGCCAGCATCACCATCATCACCATCAGCACCGTCAGCAACATCATCGTCAGGATCATCGTCAGGATCATCATCAGCAGCATCATCAGCAGCATCATCAGCAGCATCTTCATCATCATCAGCATCAGCAGCATCAGCACCGTCATCATTATCAGTCACACAGCCACCACGCACGGTCAATGTCTCACGCACTCAACTCATCATCAGCAGCATCACCACATCATCACGATCATAGTCTCGCTAGTATTCACCATCACGTCATCACCATCGTCAACTTCACATCATCCGAATCCCCATAATCATCACCACCATCATCATCAACAGCAGCAGCATCACCACCATCATAATCATCATCACCAACACCATCAGCATCATACTCATCATCCTCCTCACCATCATCATCATCGCACGCAAACGCATACGTTATGTTTTGAGAAAGTCTCGGACGCGAGCCTCGTCTGTGAGTGACGTGCGATGAGTCTCAGGCGGGAGCCCCCTCCTTATGGGGCCCGCAGCTCATGTTACTAATCCGACCAGGTCATCGGAACCCTGTAAGTGTCGTCACCTTGGGCTTCTCCAAAACTAAATGCGGAGGAAGTCTCAAGCAGTAGCCTCGTCTTTGGGTGAATCGCAAGGAGGTCTAAGGCGGGAGCCGCCTCCCTATGGGGCCCGCAGCTCATGTTACCAATCCAAGCGGATCATCGGAACCCTGTAACTGTCGTCACTTTGGGCCCCTTCAAGCTTGAGTATGGAGGACGGCTCATGTCGGAACCTCGTCGGTGAGTACATTGCGACGAGGTCTTAGGCGGGAGCCATCTCCCTATGGGGCCCGCAGCTCATGGTACCAATCCAAGCGGACCATCCGAACCCTGTAAGTGTCGTCAAGTTGGGCCTCTTCAAGCTTGAGTATGGAGGAATTCTAACGCGGGGCGTTCGGTTGTAAATTGCGGGACAAAACTCCAGCGGGAGCACCCTACCTATGGGGCCCTCAGCTCCTGTTTCGAATCGGAGCGGGCCATCGGCACCCTGTAACTGTTGTTACTTTCGGCCTCAGATGGAGGAAGCTCAGGCGGGATCCTCGTCGGTGAGTGGCTCGCGAAGACGTCTCTGCCCCCCCCCCTTAGAGCTCATGTTACTAATCCGAACGGGCCATCGAAAACCTGTCACTTTCGGCCTCTTCAAGCTCGAGTCTGGATCTCAGGCGGAGCTTTCGTTTGTGAATGAATCGAGAGCAAGTTTCGAGCGGGAGCATTCTAAATATGTGATGCAAACTTCGGCGCGCTCGCGCTCGCGCTCGGGAAAGGGCGTCCATCCCCTGGGAGCTTGAGTCTCCAGCTGGCCTGCCACAGGTACTCACGGGCCACTCACTCGAGCTATCTGACGAAGAGGAAGACAAGTAGGAGGAGGAGGAGGAGGAGGAGGAGGAGGAGGAGGAGGAGGAGGAGGGGGAGGAGGAGGAGGAAGAGGAGGAACAGGAAACCAGGAGGAGTCCAGGGCATCCCGCGGGGTTGCCCCAACGGTTTCGTGATTTTGCCGTCGGAAAGCGCGCCCCTGCCGGGCGTGGCGGCGAAGGCGCCGAGGAAATCTATTTGCGCGCCCCTGCAAGGAGGAAGGATATGTGCATGAGGAAAACAAGCGGGATGGAGATGAGGAGGGGTAGGGGGAGC